CCTCAGTCTGACACTGGGGGGCGCCGTGTTGACTCCTAAAATAGACCTCAGTGTACGTGAAGTCCTCACAGTCTTCCTCCTGCACAATGAAGAACAACAGAAGAGAGTTGGACAATAATCTGTGATCTTGGTTTGAAATGAAGAACAGAAACTATATTCTTCAAACTGGATCATGTAAGATCTAAAAATAACCAGAAATAACCAGTAATTATCAGTCATACTTAGATAAGACAAAGTAGATTAGACTTTTGGTGAGTCCTGTGTGTCCTGACTCTGTTTAAATCACCTGAGTACAACTGCAGGAGTCTTTACAGTAGATTATATTTGACAGAAACACCAATGGTCACGTTGGTCCAGCTGCTGTGGGACACTGTTCATTCTTGGTCTAGACTTTCTCTTAGACTAAAGTGTCTCTTGTATTTTGTGTGCATCATTAGACACAAGTTTGAAAGAAGCACATGAGCTGTTTAGATGAATCTGGTTATTTGACAGTAAATGTGGGTAAGAAAAGACAAACATATGAGAGTCACCTGTGTGTGAGCTCGCTCTGTGCCCTCGGCTGCTTCTGTTGGATTTGAACAAAACACACAAAGTTTGATTTGAGTGAATAATAAAATGATGTGTGTGTGTTTGTTAAATATGACTCACCTTGTGAGTGAGTGCGTCTCTTTTTGGCGTAAAGGATAAACACAGTGAGTAAGAGCAGGCTCAGCCCAGCAGCCCCACACACAGACAGCAGTACACCTGTGACAACACAAACATCACTGCAGCACAAGGAGGTGCACGCCTTTCAAACATCATCACAAGCATCATCATATGGAAAGGGTTTCAAGTACCAGAGGACACAGAGGAAGTGTGCTGCTGCTGCTCAGAGGGACTGGAGGAGCTCTCAGAGGAGCTCAGGGAGGAAGAGCTTAAACCTGGGGCAGAGCGGAGCAGAATATGGAGAATATTTCTACACTTGTAAATGTGTGGTCAAATCCAGAATGATGTGGGCTGCATGTGCCTCAGAGTGACAGAGTTTTACCAGCGGCTGCAGTGGTGCTGAGCTCCTGCTGCTCAGGACTGGAGGAGGTCTGAGTGTGGAGAGAGGGAACAACACCAGCAGGAACAGGAACAGGAACAGGAGCTCTGACTGGTGCTACAATCGGTACAGAATCAGTAAACAACAGAACATTGAAATCACTTCAAGTGTTAATTAAACTTACCTCTGAGGACTTGAATGAAAACGTTTTTGTACTCATAGTTTGCTTTTATTATTCCATCCCACTGCTCCCAACCACAGCTGTAGCGCCCGATGTCAGACAGTCTCACATTTCTGATGCTCACACTGATGGTGCGAAGTTCGTTATGTTGTGTGCTCAATAGTCTGTATCTGCCGTTCTGCTAATGTAGCTTGAAGTCTCAATCAGTCTGTTCTGTTTTGTTTTGCAGTCATTTCTACAAAAGACTTTGCAGTTTCCTTTTACTTGAACCTCACATTTGACAATGATGTTTCCTCCCTCAGTTGCAGTAAACATCTGTGATGTGAGTGAGTCCAACTGCAGCACACAGCACTGTTCAACACAAACATCAACAAATCAACTGTACAAATACTACTACTAAATACTCAGGGTTTATAACATTGTGATGTTTTAATAAACTTTTTCACACAATACTTTCACTGAAATTGTAATTTTTATTACGACTTAAATTATTAGTTTAAATTAAAAGTCAAACATGTGTCAAAATAAAAATTAAGACTAAACCAAACTAAATAAAGTGAAGTGAGTCTTGTCTTGTGTCTTGTGAAAAGCAGAGCTCGGTTCTCTGGGTTCATGTTGCAGGACACAGACGTGTTCAGAGCCGCAGACGAGTGAACGAGTCTCTGTGATCTTCACCCACACTCCACATCCTCTTCTCTTATTTATTTATTTATTTATGTAGCCTCACATAGTTTGGCCACTGCCGGCCAACATAGGGGAGGCGTGCCTGTCGATGCTATGCCCCTATGTTGGCCGGCAGTGGCCAAACTATGTGAGGCTACAGTTACTCTCATTCATCAGTGTCAATTCACCAGTAACCAGCACAAATATGATATGAGGATATTTGTTCTAGGAAATGCAGTGACTTTTTGATGCTCAACTTTTGTGTACAAAAGTACTTTTAATTTTATTTAAGAAGAGGGGGATCAGTGCATATGAATGATCATTTAGACAAATGTAAATGTGCCACAAAATTAACTAAACTAATTTCCATCTGCAGACTCCCCGGCAGTCGATGTTATAAACAATAAACACATGTGCACAGTCCAACTTTAATTAAAATAAATAATAAATGTAATTGTTTCATGCTCTAGTTTTAGTTTTCCTTATTTACTGTTTTTACAAAGATTCAAAAGTAACTGTAGCAATAAAAGACATTAAACTTACAGATAAGAGGAGTCAGAAGCAGAGCCATCTTCATCCGGTCTGTCCGTCACACAGGAACATCTGAGCATCTTGTTTCTATGTTTATACCAACCACAGCCCACCTCGGTGAACTCTGCACATGCATGCCTTTTCTGCTCACAAACACCTAAACCACAGAGGGTCATCAAAGAGTCAGTATTCAATGCATTTGATGCACCTTACATACATACATACATATTCACACACACACACACACACACACATATATATATATATATATATATATATATATATATATATATATAAGTTTGGACATACACTGAGCCTAATAAAACTCAGAATACAATCACAGATTTCAACTGCATTTTTCTTTCCTCACTATATTTGTATATTATATATTTACTTATATTTGCACATAGACGACATGCAGGACCAAACTTTATTTATAAAGCACTTTTCATACACAAAAGTGTCACAAAGTGTTTGACAGTGATTAAAAACAATCCCACATTTCCTTCCAGAATTAGAGGAGAGGTCGTAGCTCAGTTAAAGACGTTAAAACTTGAATTTATTTTCCGTATTGTTAAAGCAGGACAATGACACAGAATTACAGACACAACTCAAATGATCTGGACACAGTAGCTCACACATCACAATATAATAAACGCAAAACAAATATAAATGATAATAATGAATTAAAAAGCAACAATGGCAAAAGATAATAAAGCATAAAAGTGTATATATACAAGGAAAAATCTAATAAATACAAAATATATCTAATCTATATTCAAGATATAACTAATATATGTAATTATTACACAATATAATGTCAAAAACAAATGGACAGTGCTGTTTCCCAGACCTGTGATGTAACATGAACAATACAGATTATACAATTACAAAGCACAAAACTCTTAGAGCTTTTTGTTTGGTGTTGGTTTTTCTGGGTCTTTGTTGCTACATCCAGCAGGGGGCAGTGTGCGCTCAGGGGGCAGCGTGCGCTCAGGGGGCAGCGTGCGTCAGGCAGTGCGCTCAGGGGGCAGCGTGCGCTCAGGGGCAGCGTGCGCTCAGGGGGCAGCGTGCGCTCAGGGGGCAGTGTGCGCTCAGTCAGATGGAGCTGTAGGTTTGGTTCAGGTCCATGGTGTCCACATGGAGGCTCTGGTAAGTGCTCTCTGTTTATTTTCACATGTAAAAATCAAACATAAACTATTCTTAAATCCTTTAGTTACAAAACATAACACTAAAATGTGCTACCTTTGTTTTGGTGCGTCTTCATTTCTTCACAGGTTTCTTCCTGGTCTGTGAAACAAACAAAAACACAAAGTTAGTCATGAAATGCAGAGGCGGAGCGTGCGCTTCACACCTCGGCCTTCAGTAGTGCTCCGCCTGGAACAATCCACTCCTCAAGAACTATTTTATGATTAAAAAAGCATCTTATTCTACAGAAAGGAGCGCTGGGGTGCTAAACGAGGACTAAATCAGAACTAAACCAGGACTAAACCAGGACTGCTTGTCAGGACTGGCTCGAAGGTGCGCCCATGTAGACTGTCGGGTGACCACAAACAAAAGGACCGCACCGGGGCTGATGCTCTACGCCACACGGGGCTCTTGCTCTCTCTCAAGTCCAAGATTAGTCCTGGTTTAGTCCTGCTTTAGTCCTGGTTTAGACCTGGTTTAGACCTGGTTCAGTCCTGGTTTAGACCTGGTTTAGTCCTGGTTTAGACCTGGTTTAGACCTGGTTTAGACCTGGTTCAGTCCTGGTTTAGACCTGGGGTAGTCCTGGTTTAGACCTGGTTTAGTCCTGGTTTAGACCTGGTTCAGTCCTGGTTTAGACCTGGGGTAGTCCTGGTTCAGTCATGGTTTAGGCCTGGTTCAGTCCTGATGTAGTCCTGGTTTAGACCTGGTTTAGTCCTGGTTTAGTCCTGGTTTAGTCCTGGTTTAGACCTGGTGTAGACCTGGTTTAGACCTGGTTTAGTCCTGGTGTAGTCCTGGTTTAGACCTGGTTTAGTCCTGGTTTAGACCTGGTCCTGGTTAGTCCTGGTTTAGACCTGGTTCAGTTTAGACCTGGTTAGTCCTGGTTTCCTGGTTCAGTCCTGGTTCAGTCCTGGTTTAGACCTGGTTCAGTCCTGGTTTAGACCTGGTTTAGTTTTCCTGGTTCCACTACAGATGCAGTTTGCTGTTTTGTCTGGTTTTCTGTCCAATCACGGGTCTGAATCCAGTGTCGTTCACTGCTAAAGGTCCTGGTGACACCAACTCAAAATCTGAAGCAACAGTTTCATGGACATTTATTTTGTGTCCGAGTTCCTGCAGAACAGATTGTGAAGGCCTCAGGGACACTTCTGTGACTTTGACTCTGCCTGGCAACAAGTGACGTCTGAAATGTGATTGGTCAAATGCTTTAATATGAAACTACATGTGTTGAAGCAACACAAACATCTGAAAAACTCTGAAAGGAAGAGGACAGAATATTTGGAATTATTTAGTAATAATATAATTAACATCAGTCTGTGATTCAGATATTTTTTTTAGGCCAGCAGAGAAGGACTTGAAGGTCCAATACAGACGCCCCAACACTGAGTGAAATGTTTGTATTATATCATGTCCCCTCAC